TTCTCAGCTGATTTCTGCGCTAAGGCATCTCTTATTTTTGATACCTCATCTTCATCCATTTCATCTTCATCCTCTTCGTCTTCGTCTAGGTCATCTTCATCTATCCCATCATCATCTGCTTCATTATCGTCCACTTTATTATCATCTTTTAACTTTTTTAAGGCCCCCAACACAATTTCAGATAATGGCTGAAATATTTCATCATAGTTAATAAATCGTACACAGAGGCCGATAACAGTTTTCAAATAATAGCTGATATCGATCTTTTTACTTAATCGCCTCACTACCTCTGGATACTCCATTTTATCCCTACCCTTTGTGACGAATCATTCTCAACTACAATATATTCAAAGCGTTCGCCTGGTTCTGGGATTTCATAAAGATAAGTCTTAGGTGTTAGACCCTTTTTTATGCACCTTTTAGTATCCGCTTCTTCACGAGTGTGTCTATCCTGCATTCGTAAAATAAAACGCTAGACACTCTTGTTATTTTTATCAGGCTTCCACACAGCAGTTTTAACCACTCCATTAAGGTCTATCTGTGAAATATCATTTATGGTCTCTTTGAGCACGTCCTTCACAATCTGACGCAAGGTGCGAGTATTATCTAGTTTCATAGATTCTTTCATGACTTTCTTACCCACCTCACGAAAGTGTTTAGACTGCTCCCGCTTTACAATCTCAACCCCTCGAATGAAAAGCTTATTATTAAAGTTAGGCTGTCTTCTATGCGGAATGCCGTAATATTTTTTCTTTCCAGTAAATACTACTGGAAATAAGACTTCCTCATACGCCATTTTGAGATAAGATGATCCATTATCATTTCTGAGAAAGTCATTAACTTCATCGCGGAGACTTTCTATTACTTCCATAGAGATATTCATCATTCTAGACCAATATTCTTCTATCGAGATCCCATTACCACTGTTATATGCCTCATCACATTTCTGAAAGCACTCTTCCGGACAGACAAGATATAAGGAATCTGTATCCCCGTATTTTACACTGAACCTTTTACTTCTGACAAGGTCGGCAATAAGCTTGATATTCCGCTGACCAGCTGATGTTACCCCACCTGCTAATGCTCGCAAGAAGAAAGGGGACCCGCTATTCCCAGCTTCACCGTAAAATGTATTCATATATACTTTTAAAGCGAGTTGTTTTACGTCTAGACAGGCGACAATAAAGGAAACTGAAGAGTATTCAGACTTTAAAGCATCTGTAATGTCCTCATCCCTTGCTTCCGCCAAACTAATCTCCTTTTCTAATTCTTCTTTTCTATCACTTAATGGAGCAAGACGTCTTTTTAGAGAATTTTGTCTAATAAGCAACTCCTCTAATACTTTTGGATAAAGGCCTTTCATTTCAGCTTGGTTTCTATGCTCTATAGACCATGCGAGAATATCATGACCATTAAATTTGAAATTAATTTCATGAAGCTTTTTACCGCTTTTCTTTAGAGATTCAGCATGTTTTCGAGATAAAATGATTCTATCAGGTGAGAGATTGTATATCATGATAAGACTCAAGTACAATGATGCAAAGTCTAAGCCAATTACAGGACATTTATTTTCGAGACCCTTTACCAGTGGGAAAACATAGGCTCCAGGGTACTTCCCTGTTTCCATTTGTTCACATGGAATTGTGCTAGTTAAAATCCCTTCCTGTCACGCACTGGCATTTAAAAGATTACGCACTTTCATTCCTACTGCAAAATAATGTGAGTCATATAATGATATGAAGGCTACAGATGCCACCTCCCTGTATTCGTTAATTGCATTATGCTTGACCATTAACCGCTAACAGCTAAGAGCGTCGATAATACAATATTTGACCACTTCGCGCATTTGTTCAGCCGACATAGAATCTAGCTCTTTTAATGCCCTTTCATAATATTTGTTCATACGGTGAATAGGCATATCCATTTTACTTTCGAGCCCACTTTCATTTAGGTAAAATGCTAAACTACTCTTTTCAGCCTTAGAATAAATTCCCATAAAACAGGGTCAGACGTCAATAGCTACACATCCTGGAATTTTAAGATGTTTCGAATGGAATTTTCCATCATTTACTTTTATCATATTATATCGATATTCCCATTTTATAATTTTTTCCAGGCTGGATGGTTTGAATGACATATGATTGAACATCCATTCGAGAATCCCTAATTTATTGGCTTTTTCTACAATAAATCACCAATCGTATTGAGAATCGTTAAAGCCTATGTGTATGTCCGGGGCCAGAAGTTTCCAACATAAAGCGAATGCTTTTAGTAAATCTGTCTGGGATCCACATATAATTGTGATCCAGCCTGGCTCTGATGCAGTTTCAACATCGACAAGACAGATTTGTTTTAACGGTTCGGGATCATCTTTCCAATGCACTGTCATACAAATCATAAACACCTTGTCTTCATCATATTTTGCGTTAGGCACCTCGCCTGTTTTTCGTGAACTATATGTCTCAATATCCCATGTAAGGACTAGAGTGCGATCTCGTAAAAGTGCAGAAGAAATTAACGGATTTTTATAATCGTCCTCACTTATTGGATTATAATTATCCACAGATAGTTGAAATAGATAAGTACCATCCGGGGTAAATTCGTATAAATAATTGCTTAATACGGCCCAGCTTGAAAGAGGTAATCGTTCTTCACGAGCTACTTTGCGGTAATAATACTGGCAGTTTAGATCATCTGAGGCTGTATGAATACCGACTTCACGAACTGCTTTTAGGGCATTATACTGATCAAAATGGTTCCACGTCCTTATACGGATATATGCTTTCTTTTCTGTATAATAACCCTGAAGTGGAAAAGCACGAATATCCTTGATCCCAAATTTTGATGTACCTTTGAGAGTATTGGATAATATATTTACTAATCTGGTCTTAAACGTAGATAGTGGTATATCTTCAGGAACTTTGACATCAAAGAAGGGTCGGATGTCTGTAATATTCACGACTGCTTTTTGCCCATTAATCAAGCAACCACTAATGCGCAAAATATAAGTAGAGACCCTATTTATATATTTGGTATCGTCACTAACTTCAGTAGGCATAAAATGTATGGGTTGCTTATCGAATAGGCTTTGTTGAAGTATAACAGTCATCCCGTTTTCATATTCTGCTATGATCTCATTACGTGATGGAACACTGGCTAAAGCACCGTTGTAGCAAGCGAGAGTTCCGGTGCGATCAGTTTGGTCAGAAATAGTTGAGGTATGCATGATGACAGTAGGTAAAGATTTTATATCACAATATACCTCTGAAATGTTTAATTAATTTTTTCGTCCTTTGAAAAAAAGAGACGTATAGCAAGCTAGTAAGTAATCGTAAATAAAAGACAAACGGATATATCTGAAAAAGTGTAGTCTTCTTCGTAATTATTATATAAAAATTGGAAGAAGACTACACTTTTCTAGATATGTATCTGGGTGCATCAAAATGTGTAGCCTTCTGCGAAATCTATTATATAAATATTGGTAGAAGCCCCCATCAAGATGGTATGTACTCAGGTATGGTATAAATAGGCCGGCCACAATAATACATATCGCATCTCTAACCTCGAACGCAAAATCGACATAAATATATTAGCAACTAATGGGCAATAGTTAGGTTATAGGATGGCGCACTTTTTGGTAATCAAATGGGCTGGCCATAATAATGCATATTATACCTCTGAACTGGTGAACTAATAGAATTAACCGAATTTGCATTTATTAGGAAACTGGTAGTCCTGGCTTAATTCATAAGAATTGAGTCTCTTTTGTAGGTTACATGTTAA